AGTGAGCTCAGAGCCTTTGTTGCACTAACCCTTGCTCCCTGCTCCAGGAATGGAGTGGGGATGCTGTCTCCCCTCCCGGGACCCAAGTCCAAAGCAGAGCAGAAATCACGTGCTGATCAGTATTAGGACCAGAGACTCCTCGCGGGTCTCCTAATGGGAAGATCTCAAATCTTGCACTAGCACAGAATTTCTGGAAGGCTTCTCTTCTGGAAGCCTTCTCCTACTCACTGACACTAACTTAAGCTCCCACAGTGAGTGCCTGGGGATGCAAAAATGCATAAACAAGACGGAGGTTTCAGTCCACAGGGCGCTGTGGCAGGCACCTCAGCCTGGGGAAGGGGCAGGCTTAGGGCCAAGGCTAGTCAGCCCATGACACAGGTCTATTCCCGGAAGAGGGAAAAGCATGGAAAGGCACAGCCCTGACAGAAGGACCATAGCCTAGGAGCCCCTGAAGGAGGCGGAAGAGCTAAAAGTAGCCCTGCAGGCAGGGTTCAGGTCACAGAGGGCCACAAATGCCATGTTAAGATGCTCTGACCTTAACTTAGACTGGAGGAAGCCATGGAGGCCGTCAAAGCTTAAAATCCTCTAGATCTCCGGAGTCCTATTCCCAGGAGCACTTGCAATGCCTATTGCTTCCAAGATACCCTTTATTCCTGACCAGGCCTCAAAGACCCAGCCCAACCTTCTGTCGTTGGAGGGTAGCCAGTTGAAGCAAGAGTTGACCAGCTGTAGCCTGCAGCTGGTGGGCCTGTTGCTCGCTTTTAGATGGCTTATGGGTGAGAATGGTTTTTACATTTTTTTAATTGTGGAAAAAAATCAACAGAAAGATACTGTTTTGGCCTGTGAAAAGTACATGAAATTCGGATGTGTTCATAAAGTTTTACTGAAACATAGCCACCCTTGTTTGCATGTTGTCTTTGGCTGCATTTATGCCGCAGTGGCAGAGTTGGTGTGGCAGAGACCATAGAGCATGCGAAGTCTAAAATATTTACTCTCTTACCTTTTACAGAGAAGACTTACCCCTAATCTAGCTAAAGCAAAGTGGGGTCTTGGAGGATGCACAGAGACTTAGCTGCTGCTCAGAATAGGAATTCTCCCAATTAGGCTGTGCCACTGGCCTTTCAGGGGGATCAGGGAGGCCAGTGAGGGGAGCTAAGAGGCAGTAGATGAATCAAGCAACCAAAGGCATCGGGACATCAGAGGTTGTATACGAGTGAGGGGTAGCTCTGGATCCTTAACTCCCAGAACAAACTGGCTTCCCGAACTCAGTGGCTGCCAGATGTGTCCTGTCAGTTCTGGTTCTTCCCAGTTCCATGACATTTATAATCTCTGAACTCCGGCGGGGGTGGGGGGGAGTGGGGAATACCCTAAACTGACATCCTCACAGGCCAATGGACCTGATGTTTAGAGATGTGGGACAATTGAGCCAGTCTGCAGGACCAGCCTGGGCCCCACCTCTTTGCCTCAGTTTCCACATCCTGTTGGGACATGAGAAATCTCACAACTCTCACCCACTTGATTGTTAGTACTATGCTTTTTGACTTTTGTTTATTGGTCCTACAACTTGGTAAACTACCTTATTAATTCTTAATTTGTCTGGGTTTTTTTAATTTATTCATTTTGAGAGGGGGGAGGGACAGAGAGAGAGAGAGAGAGAGAGAGAGAGAGAGAGAACACCAAGCAGGCTCTGCACTGTCAGCACAGAACCCGACATGGGGCTTGAACTCACAATCCGTGAGATCATGACCTGAGCAGAAACCAAAAGCCAGAATGTTAACCGACTGAGCCACCCAGGCGCCCCTGTTTTTTGTTTTTTAAGTACAACCCTATCTATCATCTGAGAACAATGACAGTTTGGAATCTCCCTTTCTAATCCTTGTATCTCTTATTTCTTGTTATACTGCACCAGTTAAAACCTGCAAGACAATGATGAGTGGAAACAGTGATTCTGGACATCCCTATCTCATTTCTGATCAGGAAAGGAATGCTTTTAATGTTTCACCATTGAGCACAATACTCTTTCTATTCCTAAATTGTTACAACTTTTAATTGGAACAAGTATCTGAATTATTTTCCTGCATCTATTGAGACTATTGTTTTTTGTTTTTTTTTAATTTTTTTTTCAACGTTTATTTATTTTGGGGACAGAGAGAGACAGAGCATGAATGGGGGAGGGACAGAGAGAGAGGGAGACACAGAATCGGAAACAGGCTCCAGGCTCTGAGCCGTCAGCCCAGAGCCCGACGCGGGGCTCGAACTCACAGACCGTGAGATCGTGACCTGGCTGAAGTCGGACGCTTAACCAACTGCGCCACCCAGGCGCCCCGAGACTATTGTTTTAAAAAATTCCCTTTGCACAGGGTGCCTGGATGGCTCAGTTGGTTGGGTGTCTGATTCTTGATCTTAGCTCATGGTCTTGCAGTTCGTGGGTTCAAGACCCACCCTGAGCACACACACCGGCAGTGTGGATTCTGCTTGGGGTTTCAATCTCTCTCTGACTCTCCCCTGCTCTCTCTCTCAAAATAAATAAATAAACTTAAAAAAATTTCCCTATGGGGTGGTGCCTGGGTGTCTCAGTCGGTTAAGCGTCTGACTCTTGATATGGGCTCAGGTCGTGACCTCACGGGTTTGTGGGACTGAGCCCCGCTCAGGCTCTGTGCTGACAGTATGGAGCCTGCTTGGGATTCTCTCTTCTCCTTCTCTGCCCTTCCCCTTGCTTGCATTCCCTTGTTCTCTCTCAAAATAAATAAACACTTAAACATTTTTTAAAAAATTAAAAATTCCCTGTATTTACATGTTTAATTAATTAACAGACTCAGTAATATTAAACAGAATTAGTCTATTTATTTAAAATTTTGATGAACTCACCTATAAAATAGCCTGAGTCTATTGTTTTCTGTATGGAAACATTTTTTTTTTTGTAATGGACAAACTATTTTTTTAATGTTTATTTTTGAGAGAGAGAGAAACAGTAAGAGCAGGGGTGGGGCAGAGAGAGAGGGAGACACAGAATCTGAGGTGTCAGCACAAAGTCCGATGTGGGGCTGGAACTCACAAACCACAAGATCATGACCTGAGCTGAAGTCAGACACTTAACCAACTAAGCCACCCTGGTGCCCCTGTATGGAACCATTTTAACTAAGGACTCAACTTTTTTTTTTAAAGATTTTACTTTATTATTGTTTCTCTAAGATTTCATTTTGATGTAATCCCTGCACCCAATGTGGGGCTGGAACTCACAACCCCGAGATCAAGAGTCATATGCTACATTGACTAAGCCAGTGGCACCCCTCAATTTAAATGATATAGGACTATTCAGGTTTTCTACCTTTCTTTGAGTCAATTTTTCTGGATGTTTCTTGAAAGCTTTATTATGGCATACTCTTTTCTTTGATGATCTTTTCAATCTCTATTCTATCTAAAGTATGTCTTCTTTTTTATCCCTAAAATTGTTTCTCATGTCTTATCCCTTTTTTCTCATGACGAGTTTCACTAGAGATTTGTCTATTGTATTTATATTAATGTTCATATATTTGTTTTCTGCTTCTTCAGTTTCTTTACTTTCTTTCTTAAATTTCCACTAAATTTTTTATTATTTCTTTCTTTGGTTTGGTTTTGTTCTTTTTGTATTAGCTTTAATATTTAGCACATTAAATTACAGTCTTTCCCCTTTTTTGACATAAGAATTTAAGGCTACAGATTTATCTTCAAGCACCATTTTAGCTATATCCCATGTTTCCGTATATAGTATTTTTATTATAATTCAGTTTTAAGCATTTTCTGACTCCCCTTATGGTATCTTCATTGATCAGCTTAAAAGCATTTAACATACTCTTTTGTATTTGAGATTTCTTTTGAAATGTGGTTAATATGTGTAAAAGTCCCATGTACACTTGAAAAAAATATGTTATCTAGTTGTTGGATAAAAGTCTAAATATGTTAAATCTATTAAGTCAAGCCAGTTAATTGTGCTGCTCAAAGCAAGCAAACAAACAAACAAAAACACTTGGAGACTCCCCAGGACATAGTTTGGAGAAGGCAGAAGTCAAAAGTGGGGAGATCATACAAGGGTAGGGAAAAGGCAAGGTGTTCGCATTTTCCGAGGTAGAATGATGGAATATGGGGGCTGAAGGCCCAGGAGGAAGACCACTCTGGATAGAAGGGGGTCAAGAATCTGTTTTAGGCATGGTATGGGACACCAATGAGAGAATGTCCAGGAGACAGAGGCTGATTGATGGTTGAAGTCATGGGCAAGAACAAAATTTCTCAGGGGAGTGTGGTGAAAAAGGCCAGAAGTTATGATCTAAGCCAGTCTGAAATAGTAAATAGGGCATTTTTGGTAACCTACTCTATTAATACACATATGCGTGTGTCTTGCCTCTCTGAGGGCCTTCTATTGGTGACCTGAGGGGTGTGACTGAGTCCTGCCTATCTTTGTTAACCCCAAATTGTCTGTAGTCCTCCTGATGCCCACCAGATGTCCCTTTTTGTCTTGGGTGTTGTTCAGTGTTCCCAGGTCCCTTTTTTTTTTTTTTTAATTTTCTTTTTCTTTGAACGTTTATTTATTTTTAGGACAGAGAGAGACAGAGCATGAACGGGGGAGGGGCAGAGAGAGAGGGAGACACAGAATCGGAAACAGGCTCCAGGCTCTGAGCCATCAGCCCAGAGCCCGACGCGGGGCTCGAACTCCCGGACCGCGAGATCGTGACCTGGCTGAAGTCGGACGCTTAACCGACTGCGCCACCCAGGCACCCCATCCCAGGTCCCTTTGAATAAGAGGGTAAGACTTGGGGTGCCTCGGTGGCTTAGTCGGTTAAGCATCGGTTAATCATCTCAGTTTGTAAGATCGAGCTCCTCGTCCAGCTCCATGCTGACAGTGCAGAGCCTGCTTGGGATTCTCTGCTTCTCTCTCTCTCTCTCTCTCTCTCTCTCTGCCACTCCTGGCCTTCCCCTCCCCTGCCCGCTGCCCAGGGCACACACACACACACACACATTCTCTCTCTCTCAAAATAAATAAACATTAAAAAAAATAAAAAGGTAAAACTTAACCCTGAATCAAGAGTAGATTTCAGGCCGGGGAAGGTGAGGGGGCGGGGTCCACCACAAACAACCCTGACCTACTTAACTGTTCTGCCTGCCACCTGTCCTGCCCCAGGCACAAGGCACTCTCCAAGAGGCAGTTCTCACCTGACTGGATTTCTGGGCCCGGTGCCTGCACCAGGTAAGGGATTGGCAGGGCTGTGGTAGTGCGACTGGGTGATGAAGAACTCATAAACAGGAGAGACTGAGATGAGACACCAGGACTTTGCTGCTTTCACCTGGGGAGGGTTACATGGGAGTTCCAGATCCTAGGAGGCTTGGGATCCTTGGCGATGTGAAAAGAGAACTGTCTGGAAAATTTTTTTGAAGGCAGGGGAGAAAGGTACACCAGGCCTGCATTTTAGTGCCACACTATCACTGGAGGCCTGGCATGTCACCTCCTTCAATGTCTGGAAATTCTTCCGTCTCTCCATTCTGTCTGCATATCTGATACGTGGACAGAGACAGAGATTTGCGTATACCCAGTGCTTTGGCGGTTTACAAAATATTTTTCCACCCTTTAACCATTTCAGCTTCGGAAACCATTCCAGTGTTTCTGGACTACAATGGGCACAGCAGTAGGCAGAACACGGGGTTATTGGGAGATGGTTAGGTGACTACACATCTAAGACGTGAACGGAGTAGTGGGTGAAAGCAAGAGTTGTTACGATCTCTGAGTTTAATGGCCCAGAGAGAGGCAATGCCAAGTGTGACTACCTTTGCTTCACAGACGAGCAGCTTCGCAAAGAAAAATGCCTGGCTCAAGGTCACCCGGGCTTACCGGTCAGTGGAGCTGGCCTCAAGATGACCAATCTGGTCTCCCACCCGCCACGGTGCATGTGTGAAGGGCCGCAGGTCCAGGCAGCACGCGGAACGGGTGACATCACCGCGCCCCCCTCCCCCGCCCCTGGGCGGGGCTGAGCTGACTCCCGCTCCTGCGTTCCGCCCCCTGCGTCCGGTCCCGGTCCCGCCCCGGCCCAGCAGTTTTTGGGCCTTGCTAGGCGGGGGGCCCATGGGGCGTTTCTCCCTGGGAATACCTAGTGTGGGGGAAAGTGAGGTTCGGCTCACAAGGCTCCGGGGGGCTGAAGGTGAGGCGAGGAACAGCGAGCCGCTTAGATGGGGGCGGGGAGCGCACCATACTGAGGCTCGTCCTAATGTTTCTTGGTGCCACGTGTCTTACCACGTGTCTCCAGGGTCCTCATATCTTGCATCCAGGTTCTCTCACAGACTCCCTAAATCACCTTAGTGAGTCCACACACACACACACACACACACACACACACACACGTATGTCACCCCGTCTTAGGAACAAAGATCTGGGCCCCGGGGGATGAGTGATTTGTCCTGGGTCACACGGACAGGCAGGCCCCCTTTGGCAGGCCCAAGAATTCTAGGCACTGAATCGGAACCAACCCCACTGAAAGCCACCCCCCGCCCTTTGTGGGGTCCTAGTGACTCATTTAGCATTTGCCCTGCAGTCTGGGGCCAGAATGCCAACCGGCTCATTGACGGAGCACCACGACTGCCAAGGCTATGGAGAGCTCTGGGCAAGCACCACCTCTCTCAGAGGGGACCAGCGCAGGAAGCCTGGTCATTCGGAGATTAGCTAGAGGAGCCCAGCTAGGACACCTACCATTATGGGTTGGAGAGGGGGGACGTGGGTTGTGTTCATGTGAGGTGTCCATCTCTACACTCACTGCCAACTTGCCCTAGAACCCAGATGGGCCTCACTGCCAGCCTGGCCTCCCTGGGGGACCACAATGGCTGGCTGACTTCCCTCAGGCTGACACTCTTCCTGCATGTCAAGACTCAGGTTTCAGGCAGGGCCTGCTGCCCAGAGAACAGGGCTCTTCGAAGGGATTCTGCATTTCTCTGCTCATATCCACTCTGAATCATAAGCGTCGTTTAACATTCTGATTATTTGTCTTCCCAATAGCTGGAATTTTCCCTTCAACCCCTCACCCATGATACTCCCTCACCACGCTCTTTCCAGATTAACCTCAAAGAATAGATACACAGGTATATTCTAGTTTGTCAGCTATACCAGAGGCTTGACTTCTATTTTTTAAGGATCGCCACCGATTTTACTGGGGTTCTTCGCTTTTCCAAAGTTTAGAGCCCCAATTCATCACAGGTTAAACAAAAGGGGAATTCCGATTTTGCAGTGGCAGCTACCCCAGGGTGGCCAGCAGCTAAATACAGACTGATACTTGAGGCAGAAAGGGCAGATGGAAGGAAGATGGTAATGAGCAAGTCCTGGGAGAGCCAGGGACACCTGGCTGATTCTCATGGTCAGCCCTTCCCCATCTCACAGGAAGCAAGTGCTAGAGGGAAAGTGGTGAAGTCTCATAGCAGAGGCCTGCCTCTCGAGGCGGTGGTGCCTTCAGAGCGCCTACTGCGGTCAGGAGCCATCACTGCAGAGGGCTAGGCGAGAGACCTGGGAGTTGTATTTTCTAACCCTCACCTCTCCAGTCTTCAGGTGAGGTCAGGAGAACGGAAACAAGTGAGACTGCAAATTCCTGGCATTTGCATTAGAAAACATGTTTTGAAAAAAATACTCTAGTGATTTGCTTCAACATCAATCTGAGTACAGAAGGAAGGAAAGTGAGATGATCTGAACCTTTTTTTCCTCCTTCAAATCATGGACGGGGTTGAGAGAAAACCACTTCACGCCCATCTCTATCCCAGGAGCACAGTGAGTGCCACTGCACAGCTGAAGACAGGCATGTGAAGACTGTGTGGCAAGGGACAAGCAGATGCAGTGAAGGAAACAGTTTTTTTTTTTTTTTTTTTTTTTTTTTTTTTTTAGGAAACAGCTTTTGAGGACCTCTGGGAGCCAAGGAAAGCACTTGTAGCTTGAAGAGTGAAAACATAAATAGAATGTGACCCTAACTTGAAAAACATGAATTCGATCGCTTCTCAGCCTTTTGGCTAAGATCAAGTGAAAAACACGAATTCTGTCTAGCAGCTGGAGTAAGTAAGGTAAGAGCATGACAGAAGTCAAGTCACAAAAGTTCCCAAAGCTCTGAGGTACAGAAGGGGAAGGAACTGCATGAACTGGCTGTCACTGCTGGCGGCGGTGGAGGACCAGGAAATGCTCAGCATGTTCCAGGGAGAGAGACTAACGTAACATTAAGTCTGGTTTGGGATCATTCTGTGGCCATGCATGGGATGGTCTGAAGGACACCTGGGCTGGAGTCCGGAGAGAGCAGGCAGAAGGTAGTGAAGAGACCCAGGGAAGAAACGCAGGGTTCTTGAGGGGCTGTTGGTGCCAGGGAAGGAGCGCAATAGGCCTCTCAGTCTGGGGTACAATGGGGCGGTCAAGAAGGACTGAGAGATGGGGTGCCTTAGTGGCTCACTCGGTTGAGTATCCAATTCTCGATTTTGGCTCAGGTCATGATCCCGGGTCATGGGATCGAGTCCCACATGAGGCTCTATGCTGAGCGTGAAGCCTGCTTGGGATTCTTTTTCTCCCTCTTGAATTAAAAAAAAAAAAAAAAAAAAAAAAGAACTGAGGGAGAAAAGAGGAAGAGTGCAGATTTATTTCAGCCTCTTTGCCAATGGGCATTGCAAAGATGGGAGAATACTCAGGGAACCCCTGCTTTTGAATCGGATAGGAAAGGAATACTGGTTTGGCATGTACCCCTGGAATACATGGACTCTAGCTCTCCATGTAATGATATACTTAACTATCCTATTAGAACTTCAAAGCTCATCAAATAGTCTTAAAAATGTGCTAAGAGCCCTTAATGAGGCCTGAAGCCTTCAATTAAATTAAACTGAGAAACAGAAGCCCTGACAGAGGTGCCAATTTGTAACTATCTGCTGGTCAGGGATCAGTGAACAGTCTGGGCTATAGCCAGGGTCGGTAGATGTGTGTGTGTGTGTGTGTGTGTGTGTGTGTATGTGTGTGTGTGCGCGCGCGCGCGTGTGTCCACAGTAGCCAGAGCTCTGGCCCCACTTCCAGTCCAGAAGAGTAATTTTTAAGGGGGACCCAGTGATATGGCTCCCTCCACGGAGTGAGTCCCATACCATCCCACCCCTAGGTGAGTTTAAGAAAAGGGGAGGGCCCAGTTTTAATGCAAGGACACATAGGCCCCTTGTTCCCCAGAAGACTTAGCTTTGATGTCAGGGCAGAGTGCCAGGTAGAGGAGAACACTTGGGCTGCAGCCTCTTCTTGCCTGGAGGTGTGGGAGGGCAGCCAGGGGAGGGGATGTTAATCAAGGGAGGAGTGCTGACCAGTTTTGCAGGTTCATTCCTGAGGCTGGGTAGTGAGGACAGGTGGAAAAGGTGGCAGTGAAGACCAAAAAAAAAAGGTGAAGCACTGGCTCTGTCCCCAGTCCTATGAAAGAAGGAACTGGGCAACAAAGATAAATGGCCTTTCTCAGTCTAAGCCGGCAGCCTGGACATCCCAGCTCCAGACTTGTCCCTTCTCCGTGGCCCCACCAGGGGGCACTGCAGCCTCTCTGAGGCTAAGAGGACCAACTGCTTCCCCCCCACCTTTGGACCCACGCCCAGCCCAGCGCTGGCAAGGCTCAGCTGGGTCATGCTCATCCCCCAGATTCGGGCTGCCATCCTGCTGCCCTCTCTAGGGCATGAAGCTGTGGCTGGAGGACACAGGGAGCCATGGAGAAAAAAAAAAAAGTTTTATTTTATCAGAGAGCCTCTGAAGGCACCTGGTTTCTGTTGAATATAAAAAAAGGCATAAAATGGCAACTGTACAAGGTGCATGATGGGTAACAACAAGGCAGGGGGAGGAGGGGAGGGACACGGAGATGTGAGGGGAGGAGGCACATAGGGAGAAGGGGGATGGAAATGTCAGACTGGACTTTAGAACAGACAGTCCTGCCCCCTAGCCACCCCTGGTATAGGCCGATGAATACACGCGCGCGCACACACACACACACACACACACACACACACTCTGAGCCCAGGAGTCTCTGCTTCCCCTGCTCAAGCAAGGATCAGTCAGAACCAAGGGGGGGGGGGGGGGGCAGCCCTTGAGCAGATGCAGAGACTGTAGAGACTGTATCCCTTCCCTTGATTCTGACCCTCAGGCTCACAATGTCCCCACTGTCCATCCACAGAGGTTCCCTCCTCAGGGCCTGGACACCCGGGCCCAGAACAGGCCGTGAGAAAGAAGAAGCTGGCTAGCTAGAAGAGAAAACCTCCAAACTCCTGCCCGTCCCTGAAGGAGAAGAAAGGGGGCAGGAGCAGGTGGCCACTGCAGTCCTTCTATCCATCCATGGTCACACAATTGACCGGAACAGGAAGGAGAAGACAGCCCCCAGTGCCAAGCCCAGAGACAGAAAGAAGGCCATGATGGCTCCAGCTGTCTCTGCCTCAGCCGGCTTCACTTTCCTAAAGGCGGGAGGGCAAGGCTTCCTTAGAATGGCCCCTACCCCAGCCCCACCCAGAGCCTCTGGGGTGGGGAGACTTGCCTGAGCACAGAATTCTGCTGCCAAGCATCTTACTTTCCCGCCCCCAATCTGGCTTTTCCCTCTTGGGGGAATGTGTACTGGGGTCTGTCTCCCACCTATCCACATCTCCACCTAGGTACCCCAGGTGTCCCACCGCCCACCACCCACCACTACCCCTTCACCTACGTGCCTTACATGCCCCTCCAGGATCAGGGAGTGTCTGTTGCCCTCTCTCCCTTCACTGAGCATCCACTGCTGCAGCTCTAGACCCTGCCTGATGCCACCAAGGTCCCCACTCACTTGGGCCCGAAGCACATGCAGAGACTGGCGAGGTAGCCATTGGAGAAGGCGAAGGCAGCCATGAAGATGATGAACCAGGCGTCGTGCTCGAAGACCACAGCCAGGTACCGGCGGGGCTGGACATTGCACAGCAGCAGCAGGGGCACAAACAATATCCGGGCCAGCACCAGGCTTGGCAGCCAGTGGCTGTCCTTCCCAGGCTGCGGAGGAGCAGGTGGTACCTCAGCCGGGGCTGGCCCACAGCCTCCCCTGGGGGCCCCTTAGGATCTGGATTGAATCTGGTTACCCTTAGGGCATAGTGACTGGGAGGGAGCATGGTTGAGCTTTCTGGAGTACTGGCAATGTTCTATATTTGACCTGGGTGGTGATTATTCAGAGATGCACGCATGTTTACGTGTGTGTGTATTCATTAAGCTGTACGCTTAAGACCTGTACAACTTACTATACATAATGTCTTGGTTTAAAAAAAAAAGCACGCTCCCCTTACCACCACACTATCTTGGTTCCCTTTCTGCATCTCAGGCTGGATTCTTCCCTCTCACAGGGGCTGGGTGCCACCTTCTACCACTTACCCATGTAAATATAGCTGTGAGGCTCCGGCCCAGCCAGTCGAAGACATTGAAAGTCAAGAAACAAGACACAGGAATGAAGTAGGCTCCTGGAAGAGGAAAAGTAGATTCAGGGATGGTTATTAGGTCCAGAGAGACAGATTTAGCCTCACTGGGGCTCAGTTTCCCCAGCTGCCCAGCTGTAAAACAGAGAAGATGCTTCCAGCCCAGGGAAGGGCAAATGGGCCAAGAAGAGTCTAGTTGGGGAGACAACAGCCTAGGATCCCCCACTCCCTCACCCCCAATCCTGCTCTAGCTCCTGTCTGTCCCCATCCTGGGAACCCATGGTGTCCTCACCCCAGGCACTGTTGCCCGCAATGCTGGATTGGACCTCAGCAGTCACAGCGGGAAACATCCCAATGGTGACCGTGAAGATGAAGCAGACGGAGAGAGCCGGGACTAAGATCTAGAGGAAAGGGACCCAGGCCCGTGTCTTCATGGCGTTGTGCATTCAAAGAACCCAGAATCCCCACCCCCTGACACACACACACACACACACACACACAGGAGAATCCAGGAGAGTGGCCAGTATCGGGTGGGAAAGGGAGCGGATGGACAGAGTGCAGGTCGGGAGGGGCAAAAGGAGAGAATGAGGGTAAAGGGCAGAGGGCAGAACACCCATGCCCCACATACGTTTCTGAGGATGGCTCGGATAGAGTGGCCTTGGTTGGTGGACTCAGAGTTGGGGGCTGGAACTCTGGACTCCTCTTTGTTTGCTTTTAGGTCCTCTCCTAGGGGGTGACAGGTTGTGGAAGCATCAAATTGTAGGTAGGACAGGACAACAGGAGATGACACAAAAGGGGGCGGACACTCCTTACCAGTGCACAGCCACACCCTAACACCTAGCCCAGACCTCCTGTAAATCCCACAGCATGGGTCCAGCGGTCCTGACCTCTCCCAGGAGACTCAGGTCATGTTACAAGAAACTGAAATCGCTTCCCATTGCTCTCAGACATTCAAGGTCATCCGGAATCCACCCCCCCACCCCCCGCCTTTATTTTTCCCAGTTTTTATTTCCCGTAGTTTTCCTCATCCCAGCCCTGGTGACATCTGGCCTCTGGCTTGTCACTGCCAGCAAATACAGTATACTCATTCTTGCCCTCTGTGCCCATGCTGCTCCCTCCAGGGCAGGCCACCCTCCACCCCAGCTTCTGTGGGCTATTCTGACCTTTACTAATGAGATCCAACTTGGTCTCCTGCTCTCCAGGCCCTTCAAGCTTGAGCTGCTGGTAATAGCGGTAGAATTCCTACCAAGAGAGGGAGACAGTGGAGGTGGATTCAGTGGTGGAAGCTCCAGAATTCCTGCCTCACCCAGGTCTGGGTCTCAGAACACCATTGGTCTGAAGCCCTGGACCCCCCACCCCAGACCCCAAATCTGGCTTTCTCCATTCGCTTACCAGTCGGGGCAGGCCTAGGTAACAGATGATGGCCAAAACGATAACCCCACAGGCCGTGATAAAATAGCCAAAGGCACTTTCTGACAGCTCCGAGCCACCTGGGTGGAGGGTGTGCAGAAATCAAAGACCAGCCCCACCCCTGTCCCTTTCCCCCAGCAACTAGGCCAACGGGCAGATAGTAGGAAGACTTACTGGCG